CGGCAGCTTGGCCTTTTTCAACTGCAGCAGAAAGTACATCATCTGCTGGGCCTTTTGATCAGGGAGCTGATGGATGGCTCCTACCTAAGGTCATGTGTGATGGTGGTTCCGAGGAAGCGGAAGGAGTCCACAGTGGTGACGGGGGTGTCCGTCAGGACGAGGGGGAGAGATGGGGCTGTGACTTTCCTGAAGTCCACAATCATCTCCACTGCCTTCTGAGCATTGAGCTCCAGGTTGTTGCTGCTGCACCAGTACACCAGCCGTTCCACCTCCCTCCTGCAGGCGGACTCATCACCGTCAGAGATGAGCCCGATGAGGGTGGTGTCGTCCGCAAACTTGATCAGTTTAATGGAGTCATGGCTCGAGGTGGAGCAGTTTGTGTACAGGGAGAAGAGCAGAGGAGAAAGTACACAGCCCTGTGGGGATCCTGTGCTAATAGTCTTAGTGGTGGAAACATTCTTCCCCAGACGCACGCACTGCCTACGGTCTGTCAGGAAGTCAGTGATCCACCTGCAGGTGTAGTTGGGTACGTTGACCATGGAGAGCTTGTCCTGGAGCAGAGCAGGGAGGATAGTGTTGAACACAGAGCTGAAGTCCACAAACAGGATCCTAGCGTAGGTTCCCGGGGAGTCCAGGTGCTGCAGGATGAAGTGGAGGGCCAGGTTGATGGCGTCGTCTACAGACCTATTAGCTCTGTATGCGAATTTCCTGTTTTTGTTCATGTTCATAAATACTTAAACATGCTTGAAATTAAAACGAGCTTTTAACAGTGAGGTGCTAGGTTAATTCATCACAATAGAGCTAGCTAAACATGCAACAATGTAATTTATAAATATCCATTAAAATGTAAAAACTGGAATCAAAATGAGACATTTGGCAGCACAAAAAATGTGTCAAACACAATATTTATTATAATAATTGTAGGCAGACAGGAGACAGAGCTGATGGAGGTTCTCAGTCATCGAAGGATGGCTGAAGGCTTTCCAGGAACAGGAGATGTGGTGTTGTCTCTTCTCTCTCTATTCTGCCAGATGAGCTGATAGGTTACAGGTGTGAGGACACACTCATGCTGTCATAACCAGATGACAGGAGTTATCAGGTGATCAGCCAGGCTAATGATGAGATGCAGAAAGAAAACAAATCCAGGACAGTGTACAGCCTCCTTCATGGTGTCATGATGTAATCACCTACTTATTTAATTGTTAATATCTTAAAAATTCTGAAATGTTTTAATTTTTTTTCCCTTGAACAGTTCACTGTCATTGAGGTGGAAGCTGGAATCAACAGCAGAAACCTCACATCTTGGTCTTTTCAGGGGGTGTGGATGCTGCTCTGGGACTTTCTGGAAGATGAATTTCCGTCATGGTCCCTGTGTCAAGACACACTGAGGCTGGGAGCTCTAAACTGGGCGGCTATGTAAAAACAAAGTAGCAGCACATTTATAATTGTTTAAAAGAGCATAAAATCACTTGTAACAATAATCTGTAAAACAAATTAAAACTAGAAGGTGATAATAAAATGTTTGCTTAGACGATTATTAAAAATAATTCACCTTTGCTACGGGTAAGGCTTCACGTCAGCCTGGACAAGTGCATTCTTGCAGCTAAATCAGTCTGACAGCCAATGTCTTGGGCAGATTTAGCCTGAAAAAAAAAATAAATAAAAGCACATTGTTGTTGGAGTTTATAAAGTCAGATAATATACAAAAGAAACTGTCCTATAAAGGTGCTTTATAACATTCCTAGTGTGTGATTGTTGTTATAACGTAAAAGTCAGTCACATATGATGTGGAGAGCCTGAAATGCGACCCCCTGAAAAGAAATCCTTACAGAACCGGGTCACGCTGTGGAGCTGGATTTCACGCTGTAATGCTGTCTGTTAGGGCTGTAGCGAAGCCTCGATGACGTCGACGGCTCGATTCTAAAACTTTGTCGACGTCAGATCCGGTAGTCAACGCACCACGTCCACTTGCTGCATCCCCAGGGGTTTGTAAATAGAAGAGGAATCTGCCTGTTTTTCCTCTAGTTGGCCCTCTTCTCCGCCTTCACTAACATCTCCGCCAAATACCGAAGACCCGGAACAATGTCCGTCCGCTACGAGATTCTTTTCCTGTTTTGCCCGCCTTCGTCTCCCGGCAACGGACAACAACTTCCGGGGTCAGATGCGCTGCTTCGTCTCTATCGCAGATGTAGAAAATCACCGGGAGCGTTTCTCCCTTCATAAAGGAGCTTCTTTCAGACATGAGGAGAGCTGTTTTGGTGGTAGCAGTCTCTCCTCCGTGCTGGTCTGTTTGCTGCTGGGTATTTTTGGTTTATTTAAACTTGGTAACTTGAACTTAACGTTGGTAAAGCTACTGTTAGCATCTTCGCTAACAGCTTCTTGTGTTTGTATAAGCTGTTACGTTTTGGTTTAGAGTTAATCTTTTTTGTGGTGTAGATCTCCCTTTTATTACATTTAGAGTTTTGTGGGTTTTCGGTTTAGTTTAAAACATCACCTTGAGTTTGGTTTAACCACCCAGTTTAGAGTTTGGACCTTTGGAGATCCTTATTTTGGTCCAGAACCCAGTAATCTTTGCCCAGTGGGACATCCCTACTTATTCGTACTTTGTTTTAATTCCCCACAGGCAGAATTAGTTTTATTATTCCCAACCTGTGGATGGAAAGATTTAAGTTTTTTTTGTAGTTGTAAATAAACCTGATCATCATTTAAACTTTAAAATCCCGTGTTATTGTCCCTTCCTTTTTGCACACGAGCCAAACTCCCCAGGAAGAGTCGTAACACCACTCGCCTCACGCTCATAAGTGACCAAAACAAAGCAGCATAGAGACACCCCCACAGAGCCACCGCAACCCACTACACTACACCTTCTCACCATACTAACCCGATATGGAACACTAAACCCGAACTACTTTCCTAATAACACTAACAAAACTACAATATCCAACAGCCAAACTAACACTAAATAAGTATGTGTAACACTAAAAGCTATGCTAAAGATTAGGATATGCTAATGCTATATGCTAATGCTGAACTACTGCTAACCGTCTTACACTCGCTTGCAAATCCAACTTCCAACTCGCCACAAGGCGTGGCCGAGACTCTCGATGCTTTCATAACTTTGACACAGAGCTGCTACGTAGTACTCTACTGGTTTACGTAGTATCTTTCTCTTTAGTCATTGGCTAAAGTGTATTCAAAATGACTCAAACTCTATGTTTAAAGCTGACGGTGGCGCTATAGTATTTAGGCAGAATTTTTAAAGAAAAGGCACCAAAATGCTAAAATAATGAATACACACATTTAAAACACTATTGGACACTCATTTATACAGTTCATCAGCAAAAAACGTTAACTGACGTTACTTGCTCTTTAAGACTGCTGCACACACAAAAAAGACTGCTGCTTGGTGGGCCCCCTTGTGGCTGTGGGTGCAATGATAATCCGGCCTTGATTATCAATAACTAGTATAAGCACATTACATTTATCCCTGTCCTTGTCTTCCTCGTGAAATAAATGAACGTTAATCTTACCCGGTAAAAACATGTTCGCTGCTAGTCCACTTGACGGGCAGTTCATCTCTGTCCTCGGTCTCCATCAAAGTTATTAAAAAAATCAAAACTAGTTGAGTTTACATCCTTGTCTGTTAGTGCAGCCAACAACACAGCAAGCTAAAACATTTTACTATCAAATCAACTAAATAAAAGCGATAAAAGGCTACAAACTAGCTTGTTTTGACTAGCTTTACTGGAGTTTCAACGGGTGTAAACAATCTTTTTGCCGTCCATCATGGTGAAGGGGGAGGTCACATGAGTGGCGTGACGTCACGTGCAAAGGGTCAATTGCTGGTAGGAGCTTCAGAGTGTGTGTATGCTCCTAAGGGTAGAAATTGTATTATTCCAGAACTAAATCCCGGTAGCATATTCATCGGTAACATATGTCCTTTATTGAGGGATAAAGCCACAAATCAATGTATTAGACAAATCATTCAAAGAGATATTGTTTCCAAACATGCAGCTGTATTTTACTGGAACAATATTTACAATGATATAGACTGGAAAAACACTTGGATTCTACCAAGAAAATTTATTATAACTAATAAGATAAGAGAGGTTTCTTTTAAGTTGATCCACAGATGTTATCCGGTAAAGACACATCTGGTTAAACGTAAGAAAAATATTGATACTCTTTGTACTTTTTGCAGCAATGCAGAGGAAACAATATGTCATTTATTTTGGGAATGCACTTATACACATGTATTTTGAATTGATCTAAATAATTTTATAAACACCAAAATTGATCCCTCTTGTAAATTGAAGTTTCACCATATTCTATTTGGCCTCTCATATACCGATAAAATTATTTCAGGAAAAAAAAATATTATTAATCTTCTGATCATTTTTGCCAAATTTCACATACATTGTACAAAATTCTCTCAACAGCGTCCAAACATATTTGCTTTTAAAGCCCTGTTTTCCAATTATCTGAAGAATCTTAATAACAGTACTAACTCCAAAGCGTGTAAAACACTAGAGCTGTGCCGAATGTATAATTTCACTTGTTTTACTTGTTTATTTGTACCTTGAGCATTTTATTTATTTATTTATTTTTATTTCAAATTTTTATCCAGTTATTTTGTTAATCTGTTTTCTCCTAAAGTATACCTTTTTGTTTAAGTATACATAACTTGTTCAACTTGTTATTACAAGATGTGGAATGTTTATACCCTTTCTATATTCTACAATGCCATGTATGTTTGTTATTCAAATGTCTAAATGAATAAAAAATAATAATAAAATAAAAAAGTGCTGACGAAATGAATAAATAAATAAATAAATAAAAGGAGCTTCAGAGCGTAGGGGGCGAGGGCTTCCGCTGCAGAACGTGTCCTGCGTCACTCGTTCACGTCGTTTTGATTTAGAACCGAGAGTTTATTTATTTATAACTTGACGTAAGGGCGCTAAATCTCAAATAAGCTGCAAATAAAATGTGGACTTCTAAGATCATATTGATGAAGTTACACACATGATAGGTCCGATTCCATTTGTCTTCAGCACAATAAATGTGTTAGGTGTGCGTCAGTTTACGTAAACAAAGTAAGCCCTTGGCTAAATTAGGCTAAATGACACGTTAGCTTAACCGGTGTAGCTAGCTAAATATTAGCGATTTCGAGCAGTTTACTACTTTCCACGAAGAAAAGATCGCAGAACGCAAAATTGTTGTGTTTAATGTGTTGCGGCAAGTGGTGCCTGTTTTAATTCTCAATTCAATAAGAGTCATACGAAGCCAGTTTTTAGCTTAGCATCCCAGTGAAGAGTGGCTATTAACGGTCGTATGTGCTCATTTAGCTTTGGCTAGTTGGCTATGCTAGCATTGTTTGGGAACAGCTCGGACTGCTGTAGTCATTTGCTTTCTTGCCATTGTTTATTATTTGTGACTATAGTAAAGTTTGCATCGTGGGATAATGGCACCTCGCGTACAACTGGAGAAAGCGGCTTGGCGTTGGGTGGAATCGGTAAAACCAGAAGAAATCAAGCAAGAACACATAGAGCTAGCATACCGCATCAACCTCCCGGCCTGCAAGAGAGGAGCCTGCAGGTACTTTAACATTTTTAACACGATCGTTGCGCTTCGCTGCCAGCAAAAACACATTATTGACCATTTCAGTGACCAGCCTCTTATAACGCTGCAAAGACACTAGCCTCGGTTTTCAGTTGTGGTGCTGACAGCACTGCCTAATGCTTACTGGCAGCCTCATAAACAGTAAAAAAGTTAGAAGTGCCACGTTATGTGCTGCAGTGCTGTGCTGTTGTTTAGCACCGTGGTGCTTCAGTACCACATCCTTTTGAAACAGAAGCCTTGTTTAAAGTGGCTATGATGACCAGGACTCATTTTCCCCTAGGAGGAATTGCAGAGGGAATCCAACTGTCTTGTTGAATTGGTGAACAGGCATGGCTTGGGAGATAGATGAAAACGTTTTCCATAATATTGATGATCCAAATTCAGAACGCGGACAAGGTACTTCTTTTCTACTATCTGCTCACTCAGCTAGTGTTTCTTAGGTGTTAATACCACCATTGTTCTATCATCTAGACTAGAGCTGATACCTTAATTCTCCCTGTCTGTCTGTGTGTCTTTATAGAACACCTTTGTTGGTCTGACCAACCTTGGAGCAACATGCTACGTCAACACATTCCTGCAAGTATGGTTCCATAACTTGGAGCTTCGAAGAAGCCTTTACCAGTTCCACAATTCCCGAGCAGAGGAACACAACATTCAATCTGGTATAACTACAACTGTATCTGGGTGTGACCTTTGTTGTGACTTTTTCCAGGTTTTAACCCCAAGGAATTAACAGCATCCACATCAGATACGTGGATTTTCAGAGAGAACCAAAGGCAAATTCCACGTTACACTAGTCATTTTAATTTAGTAGCTTTAGTTGTAATATATATGTATATATATCTTATATATATATATATATATATATATATATATATATATATATATATAATATATATATATATATAAATATATATATATATATATATATATATATATATATATACCGTAAATCCTCTAATACAGGCCTGTATTCAATTAACGGGACCGGGTCTCATATTTTGGCCGGTGTCGGAGTCGGCGGAGGTGATAATGGCCGGTCTCTTATTGTGGCCGGGTGGAATGTGGTAACAAGCAAGTACGGGGGCGGTTGTGTCATCGTCTCACTTTTGATTTGCCAGTGATAGACCACGAGGGTAACTTTAACCATGCGGAGACGAAGAGGAGGCGAAAATTTGATATCAAGTTCAAAGAGAACGTGCTGATTATGCTGCAGAACACTGGGGAGCAGTAGGGGTTGTATGGAACTAGTCGACTTCACTATAGTGACTTTTTATGCCTGTCATCGACTAGTCGCTGTCACGTGATAATGACCGGCAAGATGCAGCCCTCGGAAAAGACAGCAGCCTGCTGTCAGCAGGTGACAAGCTCCTGCGCATCGGGGGGGGGGGGAACGCGCTGTGCCAGAGCGTCGGTACTGACACGCGATCGTTCATGTCGGTTCATTTCCTTAATGTTTTCTGTCTTTTATTTGCGCCTGATGTGTTTCGCTGCTGTGGAGCGGGGCGCATCACCTTGTCCTCCGGTGACGAACCGATCACTGATTGCGGCCGCCAAGCAGCGAGCCACTCCGCTGTTTTGCGGACGGTAGATCTGCGTCCTGAGCACGGCCACAGTAACATTATCAAATTAGGTGTCGCCACCTCAAAAACTAATTTAACACGCGATGTTCATATCGGTTCATTTCCTTTTATGTTTTCTGTTTTTTTATTTGCACCTGATGCATTTCACTGTGGAGCGGGGCACATCACCTTGTCACCCGGTGACGCACCGATCACTGATGCGGCCGGCAAGCAGCGAGCACTCCGCTGTTTTTGCGGTTGGTAGATCTTTTAGAACTGCAGTTCAAAGGTAACTCATGAGGTGAATATATATGAGCCCAGGTAGCAGTTTCTCTTTAGGATTGAGAGGAGATGCAGGAAGATAATAAACAGGCAGGACAGAAAAATAGTCAAATAAAAACAAGTTAGTTTTTGTACCTGGTGGTTGCAACAACCATACACCATGGACGGTAATCAGAGGTGAGGAACAGAAAATGAAATAATTATTTTAATGTTTAGAGCAGCAGGAACTCCGAGAGGCTGCAGGCGCATCAGTGAGTTTTAGGCTGCTGCGCAGGGGGAGGGGGGAGAGGGCTGAAGCAGAAACTACCGTTGTTAAAAGAAATGTGTTTAACTTTGAAAATGTGGGCGCAATTTTAATTGTCAAAAACTCCAACGAACCATTAGTTCATTTTGCTCAAATAGAAATAGAGGCCTGCCTCTAATTCTGGTCCTCCTTCCAATAAAGGCCTGGAGCTTGGTGAGCTTGAGTCAAATACAGGCCCAGGCCTGTATT